CCCCTTCAAAATGCATGGGGTGGTTTGTTTATTTTGTAGAATTCTACAAATCCATAATATGATTTTTCTGAAGTTAAAGTTATCCTTCATACGTGGAAATTTATTTTTACATTCTTGGATTTGAGTGATTCAAGGTTCCAATGACATAGCAATCTGCAGGCTAACTCATTTGAATTATATATAGTAGCTAGCATTTAAAAAATGTATCCTGTGTGTAAGTAATTAGATAGTTTAATTATACCGATGCCTTATCCAAACACTGGTCCATCTAGCCTAGTTCTGACATTTACTGGCAGCGGCTCCATAGGGGTTTAGGCAGGAGTTTTTCCTGCCTTATCCAGGTAAGCTAGGGATCACACCTGGGACCTTCTATAGACAATGTACAGGCTGTACCACCAAGCTACAGCCCCCTCCCTACATTTATCTAAAGTAATATAAGGTTATTGGTTTGAGCTAAGAGTTGTAACCCTCTGCACACTTTCTTGGGAATACTTTCCCTTGAAATACACAGGAGGTCCCTCTGAGTGTACATGTGGAATGGTTGCTACACAAGCAGAGCATCATACAAGAGTTTTAGTATCAGCTTCAAAGGTCATTCTGCTACTGGAATTAGTACAATTAAGCTGGGGGTTTGGACATTGTTGTAATATGTAGTATTTATACAGCTTCTTGCTGTACAAAGCACTTCACATATACTTCCTCAATGTTCTTATTTGCTGCTGCCTTTTTGTATCTGGTTGTTTTGTCTGGCATCTTGATTCACGTTCTGCTGTGGTGGTTATTTGGATTATAAACTTACTGTGTTTTGAGAGTTTAATTTTGGTTTTGTATGAATTGATTATGTTTTTAAGGGCTAGTAAACTGCCTTAGAAGTGTAATCTATCTGGAAAGGCAGCTTTAAAATCTATTAAATAAAATAAATAACAATGGGAGATTACAGGGTTTAGGGCTTTAGTTAGAAAAAAGGCAACTAAGTGGTACACGACAGGAGGGAATAAAAGTATGCATAGTGCATGAAATGTGTATAGTGCACTATACTTCTTTCTAGAGCACTTATAATATTAGGTCACAGGGTCATCTAATGAAGCTGAATGGTAGAAAAATCAGTATAGAAAAAGGAAGTACTTCACACTGCAGGCATTCACTCTTCAGGCATTCAAAGTCTCTACCCAAGAAAATTGGATAAGGACTCCTTTTCAGGTACTAGTATCTTCAATCCTACCTCCTGACAGGCAAGAACTGAAGGTAAACTATGACTATTTATTTGCTTGAACACAGCTACATTCTCCACAGGATCAGGAACTGTGCCCAATCACTGTTGAATGCAGCCATGCTATTTCCTCAAAATGTTACCATCAACACGAGGTGGTCAGGGGCTGGTGTGGAGAAGAAATCCCCATCTGTCTGCCATAAACAGTATTACTGAATTCCTAAAAAGGGCTCTACTTAAGCTATAGAATTCACTACTGCAGAATGCACTGAAGAGATGGTCACCAAACTGCCTTAAAGGGGTCTAGATGAATTTATGGAAGGTAAAACTATCAATAGCTACCAGTCATTTATTTGTTATAATTTTAATCTGTTCATTAACCCATGTATTCTGAGTGCATTACAAACAGTTACAGGACTAAAATGCCACACATATAGTTAAAAATATAAAATCAAATACAAATATTTAAAAAATAGAATATGTGATGTCCTGGTGGCTGTATCAGAGTATACAGTATCTGAGAAAGCAATCTTCTGAATTCCAGTCATGGGGAACAACAGTGGGATAGGCTATTGCCCTGTTTGTACTCTCCCCACCGGCACATAAGAGTAATTGGCCACTGTGGAAAAAAGATGCTGGACTATATAGGCCTTTGGTCTGATCCAACAGGGTGCTCCTCACAAGCCCAATCAGGAACTGTTCTATGTCAGCCAAGACCTTAGAGTAGTCTAAGAACAAGGTTAGAACTAAACTCAAAATCAGCATCCAACAGGTCTAAACCATCAGTGGCCCCCATATCCAAGGGCTGCAATGGCACTGTGCAAGGTATTTGCAGTAGACAAACTGGGATCCATTCATGAAGAAATTTGACCTCTTTTGCATCTATCAACTCTGAGCAAGCCAATACAGATCTAACATGACCTCACCAAACAAAACAGTTCTCAAAGAGCAACTTGAGCTGCATGTAAGGGAAAGCTATGCATGCTAGAAATATATTACTGAAATAAAATGTATTTATTATATTATATAGGTTATTACCTATAAAGTCCTAAATGGCTTGGGACCAGGATACCTAAAGGAATGTCTTTTTCCCTATATGCCCTCCCGCCCCTTAAGATCAGCAGCAGAGGCCCTCCTCCTCTGGGAACCCTCTTTGAAAGAGGTCAGGAGACAAAGCACTTGAGGAGGGCTTTCTCTGCGGTGGCACCCCAACTATGGAATGCGCTCCCTAGAGAGGTCCGCCTGGCGCCGTCATTATATATTTTTTGTGAGCCGCCCCGAGGCTTTATTGCGATAGAAATGTTTTAAATAAATAAATAATAAATATATGCTTTTCAGCACCAGGTCAAGACCTTTTTATTTAACCAATATTTTAATGTTAATTGATTTTAATTGTATATTTATTTATTTAACTCATTTTAATTATTCTATTTTATGTATTCAGTTGTGGTATAGTTAATTTATTTTGTTTAGGATTTAGATTATATTGTAAGCCGTCCAGAGACAACAGTGATGGGCAGCCTATAAATGTCCTAACTAAAAATAAATCAATTATATGTATATTCCACCTATTTTCTTTTAAGGAACTCAAGGTGGCTTACATTAATTCCCTTCCCCTCTTCTCAAACTTATCCTCACAATAACAAATCCAGCTGAAAGTCTGTGACTGCCCCAAGGTCACCTAGTTTGCTCCATGACTGAGTAGGTACTAGAACCCTTAGTTCCCAGAGCTCCTCGTCCTACACTCTTAACCACTCACTACACTACACTGGCTTTCCTGTATTCTCTATGTTCTGTATTATATCTATACTGTTACAGTTCTATAAAGTCAGGCTACAGAATGTTTAGTGAGGTATTTTGGTGACTTCAGGGGGGAGTACAAACCTACTCAAAAACCAGAATCTCTATTATTGGACTATTTCAAGGTGTGGGAGAATAAAGCAGAAGATTTAATTTCCGGTATTTTATTAAATACTACAAACTCTGGATGGGCTACTCTTCACCTCATTGGTGTCACTGTACCTCAGGAAAATTTATAGTTATTTTACCTCCTGAAATCACATGGCCCTTTATCATGAGTTGCCAATATTGTCAATTAGATTAAAACCAAGTAAAAGGTAGATGGTCTCCCCTACCACCAAAAATAAAAAAATAAAATATAAGAAAGGGAAGGTGAAAATGTTTCAAGCCCACTGTAGTTGCTATGTAGGGTTATCCGTTACCAAGGCAACAGCGTATGTCTTAGTACTAATGGCCTGTCCTTTTGCCAGGCAACAAACAGCCTTGTGATGCAACTGCACCTGTCTCAGCTATGCGTTGCTATGGAGACGTTCTAGTTACTATGGTTACCATCACGCTAATCGCCTAGCAAGGGCAGACATACAGCCATCTCCCGCAAAAGCCCAGCTGTTCCTCCCAATCTCTGCCTGAAGATTGATTGTCTGGGCCATGTGACGGAACGCGCAGTTCAGCAGAGATGTATGAGCACTTCGTTAATGTTACCACAATGAAATTTATTTGTACTCAGCTACTTTAAAAAAGTGTTATAAAAGGATGGCTGGGGTGGGAGGGTGTACCCCAAAATCCTAATGCAAATACACCTTAACAATTGTTCATCAAAGCATAGCTCTGCTAAGAGCCATATCTACTATCAGTAAAAATTATAATAATGCATGTATATATGGCTAGTATTCTTATTACTGGTTGCTATTATCATTGCAGGTTGTTGTTATTATGACTGAACTACCTAAGGTTGAATAGGTGCTGCACTGCTTTGATTCTAATTTTCTTTAAGAAAACTTTTCTTTCTGGATGGTTACTCTGAAATGTGGCAGATATGAAATCCAGTGAGCATTTTGTGCCTTCTGTGTCTCCTTGAGTATGGAAAGAAAAACCCCTCTTCAAATAGTTTATTTTTTCCACAGACATTCTTAAGTCTGGGCTTACTTTTTTTTTTCCCAAAGTGAACAAGAGGGCACTATAGCAACACACTTGCCACACAGAGCAGGTAACCACAACACCAGTGAGAAAAAACCCACAGAGCCAACACTTGCAGTGATCTGGAAACAAAAGTTTACATGAGCCTTGATAACTGTTGAGGATAAAGCCATCTCCCAAATGCTGCGCTAGAACAGAAAAATCACAAGCAACCTGCTTTCAGAAAGGAAATCCTGGATTGCTCCCTTGCATTTTAAACATTTCAGCTGCCGCTATGAGTCCAGAAGGGTTGAGAATTCTAGAAAACCACCAAAGAAGTACTGCAAGCATAGAGCAATGAATTACTACCAATGTGGGTTCCACCAAAAATGGTAAGAGATACTGTGATTTAGCCAATATTTAAGTACTGATAACTTATGGATGTAACATTCTTTCCACAAATGGTTTAGTCCTTTATGGCAGGGGTGGGCAGAAGCCAGATTGCAATCTAGCAATCAACCCCTGGCCAATTTCCACTAGGCTACCTGATACCAGAAAATTACTAGGATTTTCAGAAAATAAATACTGGCGTAGATTCACATTGGACTAAATTAGCAAGTTACCTATAATGTTGTTTAACCAAGCTGGATCATTTAACCTGGGAACATTTATCACATATTAGTTATGCCTTAGCTGTTAAATGACTTCGGGTATGCACTCTTGTTTGGTAAATTGAACACATGTTGGTCAATCAAAGGAATTATATTAAGCCAAGTAACTATGCAAGAACAAAAACAGCCCACCCCTGATTTAGAGACCCTCACTGATCAATTTAAAAGAAACAGAAATAATTGCCCATATCAAGTTTTCTTACCTTTGATATGCCTGAGGTGATGCTGGAGGTGTGCTGAACACATGAGAATATGGGTGATAGGGCGTCTTTTTCAAAGCCTGGATAAGGTTTTGTCTATATTCTGGGTCTATACACCATAAAGACCCCTTCCCAATACTCTGCAAAGGAGAATACCAAAAGAAAAAATATTTTAAATAGTATAAACATATTTCCCACATCTGTTAGAAGACTGAGATTTTTTTTCCTAGAGCACAGCAGATCTAATTCCTTTACCAAAAATTTTAATTTAGGTACTGCTGTATTTCAGCTGTAATTTTAGTAGGAATCAGGGCAATCTGATATTGTATGAAAACTGTGAAAATAGCTGTTACTATGCTTGGTTCAGTAGTTTTCTGGAAATTCTCTCTCTCTCTATCTCTCTCTCTCTCTCTCTGATATAAATACACACACTCACCAAACTGAAAGATCATAATTATTCTGCACAGCCAAGTTGGAAGATAAATAAGCCTCTCAGAGGCAGACTAAAACTGTTATTGTCTTCTTGCTGCTGCAAAAGAAAATTGGGGGATGGTGGTTTTAAACTCCCTAGCAACTAATTTTAAAAATAAAGTGGTCCTTCATCCAGAAGGCATTAGTGCCACACTGCCACAAAAACTTAACCGATCAACTTTATCCTCTGCCTGATTAAACCCCACGCCCCAAAAGTAATAATTAAAACAGATGAGGAGATTTTTCAACCTAAATTTTTGTTTGTGGGATCTAGCATAACAGTCTGTAGAGACAGCATCATATTCAATTCAGCTTATTTTATTTAAGACTTCACCAAAATTTAAGACTTTTCAAACTTGCTACTTATTTACTAATTCAGAGGCATTTTAGTTCTACTAAGCCTGACAATAATAGTCAGGTCACTATATAAGTAACTCTGGGTCCAATTCACAATGTTGCTGCATGGCACTGCAGAAGATCTACGCTTACCTCCAGGTTACCAGGTTTGACAAAGACATGTCTGAAGTTGGGGGACATCTGATGCAGCCACTACAACTGGTCAAAGGTGCAAGTAACTCTAACAAGAAACAGAGAGACATTTCCCCTTTCTGTGAGCTGCTTCTCTAGTCAGTCATGAGACGTTAGCTAGCAAGTTGCACCAACAGTTGGACGATGCAGCCTTCTACTTATGTGGGAGTTTCCCCAGTGCTGTTGCCCCCATGATGGCATGGGGGTGGGTAGAGTACTGGATGAGTGTGACAGCAATATTTATTTATTTATTTATTTATTAAAACATTTTTATGCCGCCCCATTCGCCGAAGCCTCGGGGCGGCTTACAACATAGATAAAACAATAAGTTAAAATATCCATATAAAATAATCTTAAATTAAAACACACATTATAAAATTAGTGGACTGCACTCTCCCATGTGCTCAAAGAATCTGCTGTACTTTTTCACATCAACATTAACCTTCTTTCTCACTCCCTGGACCAGGCCAGCTACTTCTAAAATAAATCAAGTGTGTTGGGTCAAATTCAAAATAGATCAAGAGAATTTTTGAGGATAATAATATTTTTAAAAGTAAGGATAGACGCCACAAACACCACCAAAGGAAGACATGGGCAACAGTGTTATTCCACTAGCATAAATGCCACTGTGCTAACAGAACTTGGTTCTGAACTAGAGAACACTCAAACTAAACTTATGCTTGTGCAACTGCCAGTGTATACAGATTCTTGCATGATGGGACAATTCAGCAGAATTTTACTAGTTCTATTTGAATGACTCTATTCCAGTTTGAGAACTCAATTATGGGTACATGGTTCAGTCCATCAACATTCAACCCACTTTCAGGCAGAAAGGAGGGATATAAATTTAACAAATAAATAAAATGGGGCTGTGACTTATAATCAGTACTTAAAACTACTTTACTAACCCCCCACCCCCACGATCCAACTATCTGGCTATGCACACAGTGATCATGTGGACTGTTACCGATCAACAGCAAATCAAGAACCTTAAGAACTGCTAAATTCTGGTATTGCCATTATATTAAATGCCGCTATAGCCAGTTTCAGTGACATCATATGTGCAACAGTGCTGAGGAAAAATGCCAAAAGCAACAGAATGAAGGGAAAAGGGGATAAACATGATTTGATGAGCAGGGGCACACAGTAAGCAAATGTATGATTACAGTAGCTAGACTATTGTACACCTCCACCAACCTAAGAAATATTTGGCCTGTAACACCACAGAAATGTGGTAAACAGGCAGTGGGCTTCCAAGTCCACTGCTACTTGAAAAATGAAAAAAGGACCCTCCAACACAAGGGGTTCAAGGAAATGCATAATTAAATACAAATACTAACCCCCAAAAAACTTTAAAACAGTAACATCACAAGAGCAGCAGTCCATAGCCAGATAAGTCCCCAACAGAACGGAGACACCTTGGAAAAAGTGCTTTTGTTTGGCACAAAGACAACATCAGTACAGGCACAAATGAATCCTTCTAGGAAGATAATTCTAAGTATGAAATGCCACAACCAACACAGCCTTCTCTCCATTTTTGGTTCCTGACTTCCAGTAACAGGAAGAGTTGGAGCAGGGGTCAGATGAAGAGAGATGCTCCCAAGCCATTTAGTGCTGTCTTAAACACCAGCACTCCAAATTTCCTCTGCAAATAGAGAACCAGCACATCTGTTTAAATATTGGTGAGGTCCATTTCTCAAAGCCAGTGTTAGTTTACCTAGCAAGTGCATTCTGTATTAGCCTAGGTTTCGTGATATCAAAGGCAGTGCCATGTTTAGTGCAATAGTCCAATATCAAGAGTGGTTGAAGCTGATAGAACAAAGAGAGTATGTATCATGCACATTGCTTGCATCTCCAGTGATCTATCAGTACCTCCAAACTTCAAGGGAGTACAACTTTGTCTACAACAGTTTGAACAGCATGTGCCCAGTCAGAGAAATTAAATTGAAACAGAACCTTCACTGATTAATCTTCAGTTATTGGCCACCCTCAGTTCAATCCCAAGCATGAGCCCAGGCCAGCATTTCCACTACTTCACCTGAATCTAATAAAAGAAGAGAGCACCTCAAATCAAACCTTTTAATAATCATGCTCAGTTGTCTCACACAGATGCTGAAGTGCTTATGGGGCAAGATGAGAGACTGCTAGCACCAACAGCACAAGTGCCATGGAGCCAAGTAACAGTCTTCCAGCATCACTTTCTGGAATCAGCGGTCATGGTTAGAAGCAAAATCACTGAAGTAAACTACCACCAGTGCCCAAGCCAGGCAGCTTATCTAAGAGGATAACATTGCTGACAGTACAGAAATCTTCAAGAAGTGCAAGGGAATAAACAAAGAAATAACACTCCCCGTGCCCTTCTCCTGGCCCAGGTCATCCTGGGTAACCAGAGCAGCTTATGTGTTGAAACCAACTGAGATAATTTTAATTTCTTCCCAGAGTTACTGGACTTCCACACTCACCACCAATTTTGCCTGCAGGAAAGGAGATTAAAGACTGGCTGTTAAAATCCTTGCAGCCCAATTCTTTTGGAGTGCAATAGGTTCTGCACAGATTATGATAGGTTCACAGTCTATACTACATAAGCAAGGAGCAGCAGGACAGAGAAATCATTAAGCACATAGCTGGAACAGAGAATTAGTTATAAGAGGAGGGAAAGACAGGACTTCATGAGAAAAAGAGCAGAGGTGGGAAGTTTACATTAAAACGGGGGATACTCAAAATGCCAGCCATTAGTCACTATTAAAAAATCTGTCAGATCTTGAAATCTCATTTCAAATGAGCAGTAAGGATTTTAATGTAGATGAGATCTGGTATTTCAAAGAGAGTGTTCAATAAGGAGTGCCTTGAAAATGATATGAAATACTCTTGCTTAAATGTAAGTTAAATAGAATAGAAAATATTTCATAGTCTTTGGGTCCCTGAACCAAACAGTCAACACAGAGAAGAGAGAGAATTCTAATCACTTTTAACAGAGTTAAGAGGGACTTTCTACTAAAAGGGTGCAGTGGTCACATAAGGCAAGATAGCATATCAGAAGTCCCTCTAAAAAGAATTTTGCTTGACATCACAGTCACTTTCAGTTAAGTTGTCAGAAGACTAAGAACAAAGTTCAAGGCTGAAGGATCCTTATCACAGTAATAGAATGATTACATCTGAACTGAGAAACACAGAAGGATTTTTAAAAACTGAGACTGAAATGGTGTGAAGAACTTCTTGTGTGGCTCTTCAGAAAGAAAAAAACCCCCCTTCACTTTTCCAAAATCAATGGAATTTAGAACAGTAGCGTAGGGATTAATTTCCATCTTCCAACATTTGGCATGCTACTCCACAAACTCTCCAAAGCCAGAAGTCAATAGTCTCTCTAATCAAAAGCCAGGAGGGGGAAGAAAGCTCTGTGATTACATTTGTCTCCAAGGCAACTAGAAGCAGCTATGGAGTAGATTAACAACTCTCTGCTCATCTCAAACTCCTTGAGCGCACCTCCTTTCAAGACTTTCAAGCAGATGCTAGAAGCCTTAGGGCCAAAATGGGAGAGTTGGAGTACCTGGTGATAAAGGAGAAGCTAGATATCGTAGGAATTACAGAAACCTGGTGGAGCGGAGGTAACCAATGGAACACGGTCATCTCTGGATATAAACTGTACAGGAAAGACAAGGGTGTATCGGAGGAGGTATTGCCCTCTATGTTAAGGAGGACATAGAGTCCAGCAAAATTGTTAATCCAAAGTGTGAAGACTCCTCCAAAGAAGCAATTCCTGGTTCCAAAACTCAGTCAAAGGAATATGCTATCACCCCCAGCCCAGAATGTTCAGAGCGATCTTGAAATGGGAAATGAAATCATGGAGGCTTCCAACAAAGGTGGTACTATAATACTTGGGGCCTTCAATTTCTTGATGTCATAAATTACTGTGTCCCAAAGCTACTGGTCATGGGATCAAGCAAAAGAAGCAGGGTGGGTTTGAGTTAACTCAAATTGAATTAAGTCAGTGAGACTTGATTTAAATCATGGTTTTCTACATAATTTGTGCAACTGTGTGCCTTACCTGTAGGTAGAGGAACTTCACTAAAATATTCCCAAACTGGGTCTCTTTTATGGCCTGCTGCCATTATAGGCTTTCTCCTCCAGGGAAATAATATTA